TCACTAGGGGGACACATACTTACCTATCCTTCTCGACTGCAGCTGATTCACATGAATTCGAATTGGAGGAATAGTGTGCCAGATCTGTCTGACGAGTGTGAGGAGAAGAGTGCCAGAACAGGACACGGTCCCCACCCGAGTCAGAAGAGGTGAGAAAAATCCCTTGGGGCAAAATATCCTTTTNTGTCATCCCCGGTAGGCTGAAATAAACCAAATTGTGGCTGTCGTACAGTTGGCAATGACGATGGTGACAGGAACCTAGGGACAAACATACACGGAAGCTCAAAATGGATATCATATATCCAATCAATCATATTAAGCATGGGTCATGCACACACTTTGTACCTTTCATTCGGTTGTGATCAACAGTAACATCACGGCTACGGGAAGAGTTACAATGAGAACTTCCAATTTTAATATCATCTTTTGGAATAAGTGATTGCTGCACACTACTAGTACTCAGCCCCTGATCATCAGTGGAATTCAAAAACTTATCTATTTTTGCCAAAGCATTCCTCACAATAGTTTGACCAGCACGAGCAGCCAATATTGCCACCTATATTTACTTCATGCTCACTCGAGAAAGGAACCAATGTGCATCAGGCACATTTGTGAACAAATAACCCCTAAGCCTCAGTATGGTCGGGGGTGGGTGTCTTGGATTGTCACCTTTTCCTTGCACGATCAAGTGTCTCAAATAGCTTCTGCTGAGGAAGCCCTACTCAGTGCCTTCCTGTGACAGTATTTTACCACCAAAGTGAGAGGACGAAAAGTCGGGGCTATGACCGGGTTGGTGAACCACTGGTAGTTCACCTAGGAGTTGGCCAAAAACCCTGATTCCAAACCAACCAAGAGGAGGGGTGCGAACCACGCACACACTTTCCTGGTTGTGACAGTGGTCACCGGCTAGATGGAGTACCGAGGGGGATTGGGCACCCTGGATTACTGACCCCATCCAAAGGTCATGTGATCCGATGGGCGCACACTGGCCCGCATTTGATTTTTGGCTAGACAAAGACTTTGGTTGTGAATTTTCCGAGAAGATTTACCGGCCTTGGCCTGGACAACCTGGTAATGTTCCGCAAATATTATTGTACCGTGAATTGTTTGGTACACAGTCTGAAAATAGGCATCCTTATCTGTCTATCGGGCAATCCGTTCATTTATCTATGTTTAACTTAACTGATTTTAACTTTGATGTACGATCGTGGTCGGAAATGAGCCCATTTCATCAACTAAGAAAACTTCATTTTTTTTACCATGACACAATCGGCAAACCAATCAATCACTTATTCATCTTTATCTGTAAAAGGAAGCTGTCGGTCAATAGTTCGACAGCAAACACAATCACAAACTCCCAAGGCAGGCAGTTAGGTTACCAACTTGTGACCTGGGAGTCCCGGGTTCGAACCGCTCCATTGCAACCCGTCTTCCCAGGCGACCTTCGTATGGTCGCGCCCCCCCCCTCTTCCTGAATGTTGACTGTACATTTGTATATTGAATAAACAGAAGAGGAATTCAAGAGATTTATTTATAGAAAAGGCCACATCAATTTTGTCTTCAATCATTTATTTCCCCTACTCTCTGTCCAGTTTTAATTGATTGCTAACCCATTATGAAAGTGACCATAATATAGTTGGACAATCCCTACTCTCTGCTCAGAAATGCATTCAGACGAATCTCGATGGTGAATCGGTGGCGGCGTCAGCTGAAAAACTGAAGCAATCAGATCAGTGGACATTTAGGCCGCGCCATTTCGTTATTGAAATGACCTTATGAACTCTGGTCTCTGACGCTGGCATGCAAAAACTATAAAACCACGAATGTGTCAGAACGGTTGATATTGCATGTTTACATGAATCCACAATGGAGACGAACGTTGTTGAATACTTTCAAGTTCAAGTGCTTACACTCACACCAGACTTCGCAACACGTTTCCTCCCTCTCCACATGGAGCGTCAATCCTCCCCGATCATGTGGATGTCATCATGCCAAATGCACTCACAAAACAATGGACAAAGTGAGTGATATGGGAAGCAGTTAGGCTCTCTCGGTGAATTAAGAAGTGTAACAACTTCCAACAAAATCTAGGGTCGGTGAATATACAACTGCTACATAGATTTCGTAAACGTCATACACGCGTGCACCTTGATGTAGGTGATCGCTAAATTTTATTAGCACACAATTGAAAAAGTACATAGAGAGCATCCAATCCTGATTACTTTCTTATCAGATATCATCTGAATGGGTGACCATCGAAACCCTAGTAAAGTGTATTCCTAAGTCTAATGAAAATGCACAGTGAAGTCGTCCGAAGCAATTTTGAAAAAAAGTTGTAGATTGAATAATCTAGAGAAACCTGAAAACTTTACAGCTATGATTCAGACACACACTGATTAAAGTAACGTTATGATGCAAACAGTGGAGATTGATAGGCAGGAATAGCGGAGATGGAGTGGTGCTGTCTTAGCGAATGTAACGAAACGTACGAATGCTTCATTCAATCAAAAGGTGTAAAAAGCAACCATGTGAATCCTTCAACGCTTTTATCCTATCAGTGAGATTACTGGTTAGATTGTGAAATTTCTGTGCTTGTCTAGAAGAGTTTAGTATATAACCGGACTACCATTGGTTTGCATGACCATGTTGGGGTCAGCGCCCTTGACTTTTCAAAAACTGACACTCAAACAATGAATTGATGTACTCCAGAGTGAAGCAGTGAAGGAAGACTTAGAAACACGTACAATAACAGGGGAACATCGTTTGTGTGAAATCACCACCGAAAGGCAAGAGTTGTCCAAAAATAGCTGTTTAATAGCCAGGTGCAAGTGATAGGACAAACCATAGTCCTGTCTGGGGAAAGAGGCGCCATAATGAAAGAAGCGTAATCCTGTTTGAATAAGGAACAAACCGACTTCGGAATCCCATGTCCAACCAGTTTTCCGCATAAAGGTGTACAAATGCGAAGCTGAAGCTAAGCGAAAAGGCGGGTTTGGTAGAAAGTTGGAGAACAGACAAAAAGCAACATTTTAGCTCGATTTCGCTGCCAAGATATTCTATACGCAGACGCTACTCTGGTTTCGCCCTCAGCCAGGACCATCAACAGTGCCTGATGCCCGTGAACAATCGAATGGATTAGTCCAAACTTACTAAACCACCGATACAATGAACAAAACTGGGGTCTATTTTTTCGTGAACTTAGTCGAGGTGGAACCAAAACATGTTCCACTCCTGAGAGACGAATCCATCGAGCGTCTTGATTTGAATTCTTCCAACTATCCGCATTTAACTCACAGTTACTTGTCATCAGTGTTGTGGGATTGATTGATTAGAACTGACCATGTTTCAAACTTTACCTTCTCGCACATTCCTCAGCTCTTCCAGTCAACCATGTAGTTCAGTTCTTACAAACATTAACCATGCACTTTCGTGCTCCGGTTTTGATTGTTCATTTGGATAAAGCAGCAGAATGAAGATTAGAATGTTGAGAGCAAAGTCAAGCGAAAGATAGCGAATTTATATACACTGAAATTACAAGAATAATGGGTAGATGCATGAGCGCCACTGTTTGCGACACAGCCATATCGCTCAGTATCTCTGACCATCGGTGACCATCATCTCGGGGTCCCCAGCCAGGGAGTCTAACGGGGCCTATGTGACCTAGTCTCCTGGTTAGGGTTTTCATACCCTTATGCCAGGTCTTAGTTTGACCTCCCTTGATCTTTTTCCAACCGCTAACTGCTTCGGCAAACATTGCTCGCCGTGGCAACCTATTTGTCGACATGCGTAGCACATGTTCCAACCAGCGTAATCTATGAAGGTTGACTACTTTCTCCAATGGACGACCGCCATTACATAAAACTCTAAACATAACCTCAGCATTGTTAGTCCGGTTACCCCACCAGACACGTGCAATGTTACGTAGACAGCGGTGTTCGAACACCGACAATCTATTTTTATCCTGTTCCCGTAATGGCCAAGTCGCTGCACCTTAGAGCAGAACTGCTGCAGCATACACTCGACCCTTCACAGACAGCCAGATGTTGCGACGGCACCACAAATGTCTGAAGTTGGCAAATGCCAACCGAGCCTTTTGTATGCGCGCTGACACTTCATCCGTAGTGCGTTCGCCAGGTTAAATATGGCTGCCCAGATGACAAAATTTGTCTACACCCTCCACTAATTCCCTAGTCAGGGTGAGACTGGGTGTTGGACCAACCCAATATTGTAACATTTCACATTTTAAGGTGCAAAACGCATGCCGAGCATCGCTACACTAGCACTCAAATCATCCAGAAAAACTTGCAACTTACCTAGATCTTCACTTAGTAGCACAATGGTGTCTGCATACTCCAGATCAGACAGTCTGCCACCCGGAAGTAAATCGGTACCGCTATCCCCACACGAGGATAGGGCTGTTTCAACAATTAAATCTATCACGAAGTTAAATAGAAACGGAGAGAGAGAGGGCAACCTTGTCGAACAGCACTTTCGGTGGTGAACTCGGGTGAAAACGTGCAGTAAGCTCGGACTCGACTTCGGTTATTAGTATAAAGGGATTGTAATATTGAAATAAACTTCTCGGGCACACCTTTCCGAGAAAGGCAGCGCCAGAGTTTAGAGCGGTCCACTGAGTCGAAAGCCGCTTTCAGATCCAGGAAGATAGAAATGGTGGGCCTATGAAAAGAGTGTCTGTGTTCTAGGATTTGATGAAGAGTGAAGATGTGGTCGATACGATCTCGACCAAATCTAGAACCAGCCTGGTTATCAAGTGTGCACTCTTCACGGGCGGCAAACAATCGACGGAGTATGATGCCGTCGAGAAGTTTATAGGCAGTGTTGATTAGACTAATTCCTGTGGTTTTCACAAGAGGACCTGTTGCCCTTATTGTAAGTCGGTATGTTCACTGATTCACACCATTCAGTTGGAACCTGTTCCCTCTCTACACTGAGCCCAGGAGTTTTGTTAACTCCAAAACCAAGGCTGAGCCTCCATCCTTAAAAATCAATAGGGACAGCCTGTCTGGGTCGGAGGCCTTATGCCTTATGTTACACATTCAACTATTGATTGTGTGAAGGTACTGGATATTTTCTGATGAAGTATCTGTTTTTTATGGGGAACTTAAAAATTTCCCCAGGAAATGTTACACGGCATATGAACAACGCAGCAGAGTTAACTGCTACCAACGC